AATTAATTATTTTTTAAATAAGACTTTATAAAAAGTTTTCACTTTCAACAATGCATTGCGCGCCTTAAATCCAAATCACGTGATAATTCCAGATATCAAGATCACGTGACGTCTCCAGATATCAAAAAAAATTAATATCTCTTGTCGACTTTTTCCATCTCATTAATTATTTCCGTTTTGCAGCATTATTATCAGTTCTTTCCACCTTCCTTATCACAAATACTGAGTGTTTTAAACCCTAAATTTTTTTTACATTTGTGTGTATTCCATCTGTTGWTAATGCGATAATTCCCGGCTGATTTGTCAGTAGCTATTTATTTTATTTTACGTCTGCCTGTCGAGAATTTAATTTCAAAACCTTATCTCTAATTCTAAATGATTTGCACTACATTGGTCCGGATGTACGTCTGAGTTTTTAATGTACAAATCACCGGTTCTCGAAAGCGCGCAAATTAATCCAAAGCCGTTCAAGCTAACTTCAGACTGGGGTAATAAGATACGCCACGAGAAAAAACCCCTTACACACAAAAAAAGCGAGCAAACAACGAAGAAACAGCCCTCTTTATTGTTGCGATTTTATTTTATTTTTTGCGATTTTGTCCATAATAAATAATGGTAAAGAATTTACGTGTAAAGTTTTTTTCAGGATACCAAGATTTTCCTAGACGAATGTCTCTTTTGAAGGATGAGACAAAAGATTTTATATTTCCGAAAATTGCCACAAAAATCGCAGCAAAAATCGCAGCAAAAATCGCCGCAAAAATCGCCAGTGTAAACGGGGCTTAAGAGGCCGCGGAGTAGAGTTTGATTTGGGGATGGGCAAAGGGGAGTCAACATTCCTTAGCTATGCATCAAGCATGAAATGACAAACCTCATACTTCTGACTCCAGACTTCAAAATACTTTCTTCCGAAGGAATCAGACGAACAAGGAAGCGAAAATGGCGGAATTCGAAAACTTTTAAGGCACTGAGAATCAAAAAGAAGATATGTAGAATTTCATCGATTCGTTGGATTACCATGTCAATTTTGACAAATGAATGTAAAAAATTTCTTTCCTCACAGGAATTTATCTATTATTCAAGTCAGTTCCCGAGTATTTATTGCTTACTGCGCATGTTCAACGAACAAACGAGCACTTTCGCTAATATCAAGCTAATTTTTCATCCAAGTTAATCCTTAAAAAATCGTTTAACTCCGGTTGTAAGTAATAATTCATTTTCCCTTGTTACTGTTTTTACTATTAAGCACGTCGATATAAGGCCAATTTTTCATTCACCTCCCACAAAACATTCTTGTTACATAAATCAGAGCTAAATAAACGTCGGAAAACCGTTTTACTGTTTATTGAATATTTCAAGGTTATTGCTTACGT